ATTATTATAAATAATAAATAATTAACAACAACTTTTTTCAAAGTCTACTTTTTCTCCTGTGTACTCCTCCCACATACCCTTTAACATCCTTTTTGTCTGAAATAAGTCAATCATGGTGTTCATTTTTTTCTTTAGAGGGAAGAGACATATATGAGTTCTCGTATTTCACTGAAGAAAGTTAATGAGTTCTGAAAATGTTAGTTGCAAAACTGTCTAGAACTCCTGTTTTAGCATGTCTGTTCTTCCTGTTCTGTGGATACAAAAACACATGGGATGACATTTACATAGTCAGATTACACTGCTAGCTCTCCTCCCTTCATTTCCAGGCCAGCAGTTTAAGCCTGTACTTGAACTCCATTGGTTATAAGGCATGAGAACCAAGCTTTACTAGAGCTATTAATCTTACTGGAGCATGCGGCATCGATGATTAGTCAGTCTTCTATAGGCATCCTGCAAGTTGGTCACATCCCTGCTGCTCCAGAGTCTTTCCCCTACAGCACTTGCTCGAGGCCTGCAAAGATATACCAAGATTTAGAGTAGGTATGGTATATAACCAAGAATGGATTCAAGTTTTTAATACCAGATCTTATATATCCAGAAGCATCAATTTTTATAGCTGCTCAGGTTCAGCACAGAGCACTGTTACCAGTAACATGATTCTGTTCGATTAATTAATGCTCCTTGTAACTGGCTTTCTAAAATCTAGCAATAAAGCAGTTCATACCATAATCTTGGTGTGAGGTTAGTTGCATCCACAAATTCCCCCCACAGGCAGGCTTCTCCACCTATTAAAAGCTTTTTCTGTTTTTCAGATCCTGAATTCAAAGCAGAAAGTTAGAATTTCTATTTGCCCAAAAGACAGGCATATATCAACAATTTTATTTTCCAATCCTGAGAAAGGATTGATGTTCAGATGTTTGTTTTATCATATAAAATATCTATCCTGAGCACTACTAACTTAATGTTTTGGTAGTCTTGTTACTGAATGTGAGAACCACCAGGCCATTTGTCCAGAGATCCCATTTCCTTTCTCTGTCAGAAAGGATTTTACCTTTTGTCCTCTGAAGACATTCCTCAGCTTTCTGACATTCTTCAGAGATTTCAGTCCTGATTGAAACTGCTCATGCTATCACACACAGAACATTCCTTGAAAAAGCTATGAAGTCAGCTGTGCTTCCTAATCAGCTCTGAGAGCTACCCTGCACAAAATGAAAGCCCCAGGGAAAGCATAAGATGTTTCCATCAGCTTTAGCCAGAGGGAGAGAACATGTCTTTTTCTAGAACAGTCTTAACCCTCTAGAAGCTTGCTAACATAAGAATTCAATGTCTGTCTACCAACAGCCATTTTGCACAACTCTGCCCCTAATGCATGATGCATCTGTCCACCTAGTCCAGCATTTTGTCTCACACAAGCACCAGTACCAGATGCTTGAGGAAGGTAACACTTTTCCCTGTGAGAAGTGGAAAGCTGCGTTTTTTTAATCTGAGAATTTTCCAGAGTTCTAGCTGACATTCAAGTCCTTTGATTACAGCGCATCTGATCATAGTGACTGCATAACCACTCTAAATAGCCTTATTCTTTTCATTTACACCTCACTATGAACCAAAGACTTTCATGTACAGAACATGCATATAGAAAAAGTAACAAACCAGGAAAGTTAAGTGGTTCAACGCTGTAGTATTTCTTCCAGTCTTGCCCATAACTAATGTAGTCTAAGTACCAGGGAGCTGCCAGGATAGCAGTGAACCCAGCTCCAGTGACACTGCTCAGTTCATGAGCATAGTTGTTTGCCATCCACACTTGAACTACAGTGTCTGGTTTCAGCTAAAAGGGGGAAAAACCAAACCAAAACAAACAAAAACATTAAAGACAATCCTAATTGCTGTTATAAGGAAAAAAGATGATGGATTTCAAAACTGGGTATTTTGTTTTGAAAAGGAACATTTTGGAAGCTACCTTTTGTCATTTTTTTTTCCCCCCACAGTGTAAAGCTGATTAGCTCTTTGCTGGTTTTAAACAGAGTTCACACTAGAGTGAAGCCTAGGTAATACTACAGACAGTTAATGCCCTAGGAGGGTTCCTACATACACCAAGTTATCTGACCAGCCCTGAAAAGCTGAGCACCTGGTATTACTAGGCCAGACACACTGTTATGTGGGGAAAAAAAAAATATATATGGAAACTCAAAGAAAGTTCCCTACCCTTTACTCTGATGCTCTAAAGCATATTATCTGTGTTCACCTTTACAAAGCACTTCAATGCTGGTGTTCCTGGTCCACCTATTTTACATGTTCAATAAATAGTAATTTCAAGGCAGGCCCCACACCTGGGGAGACTTGTTAAAGTCCACAGACTTGCTTTAACTCTTAAGAGACACAACCATAACTACTTAATATCTGGAAGCCTCCCATAATATTGTGCTGTTATGCAAGAGCATCTTACTTATTTTCCCATCTTACCTGCGCCTTGTTATCAAACACTTCTTGCCAGACAATATATCTTTTGTTATAGGAGGAAACAATGTCCAAAATCCTAGAATTTAGAAATAAGATCATGTTTGTAAACTTCAATGAGATCAGTACAGGCACATGAAGTAACAACGTTTTCTACTCTAAGACACATCAGGCTTTTCCCAGCTCTGCATAGGGGACCAAGAAACAGCAGCTTTTTCTGGTTTTGGCCTTCAGTGCTCTGCCTCAAAGAGGATGTTCTCCCACATACAAGGGCATGCACGTGCAGTAACACAAACTGATGTTCAGAACTACCAGCAACTCATACAGGTGTCTAAATCCATGTTATTTAAGAATGAGAGAAATATTATTTAAGAATGAGAGAAATAAATGGCTGCAAAAACCTTAGGACTTTTTCTCCCGACCCTGCGTGCTGATGTTAACAGCAGACACCTAGTTGAAGATACCCAGTACATTCACAGTGTGCACAGAACTAGCCTACATGTCCTTGTTGTGTCCCACATTTTAAAGCTGTGAACTTTACATTCAGTGTATTTAATATTAAAGAAAGTGGGTAGTCCCCAATACATGACAATTTTTGAAAACAATATAGGCTAACCTAAATCAGCTTCAGCATCTGCACCTCAACACCACACTCAGATAGTGGCTGTGAAAAGCCGAGCAAGAATTAAAAAAACCAACATACTTCTGAATATAGTAAGATTCCAGTTTAGCATAGTCCACACCAAATCCTTGCTTCTCCATGAACACCTTCACTTCAGGGTTAGATTTCCTTCAACAACAACAACACCACAAGTAAAAAAGAAAAGAATAATTTTGTTTTGTTTTAAACCAGATTTCCTAACCATTTCCACCTATGCACAGCACACTAGCTGCATGCCTTAAGGTATGCTATAGCCTGGAACACACAACACAGCAGAAGCAGCAGGCTAACATGATTTAGTTATTTTAAAACAGTTTCATCCCGATTTGAAATAAAGCCAATAGTCCTACTTCTCTGGTAGAACTACTGGAGTCCCTGTTCCAAAGCAGTCTCCAGCAGGCTGCCTCAAGCTCCTAAAGAGCTCTGGGGTTCCTGGCTTCTCTGCAACTTTGTGGGAAGGTTGCCAGCAGGTCTGGAAACTGAGCAGCCACAGTACTAGGGGATCTGTGGCAGTGACATCAGGAATTTGGAAAAATACCCCAAAAGCAAACCAACACTTTTGTGATAGAGCATTTGCCAGAAATTTTCTTTTTTTTGTTTTAAGAAAAAAAAATTTTAAAATTTTTTAAAAATTAAAGCAAGTCCTGAATGTTGAGATTTGATGTTTCAAGAGAATGCACAAATATTAACTAAATCAATTTGATTACTCATCCAATTAGATCTGCTCCAAATTCTGTATTATTAGTTACTCCAGCAGAGGCACTCCAAAATGTTTGAAATCCACAACCAATTGAAAAACTCTATTAATACATACCATACTTTTAATACAAGCACACAAGAGTCAGTATTGTAATACTTAAGTGTTAGTAGATTTTCTGGAAGGCAGAACTCAATGGAAAGAATTGCTTTTCCTTTAACACAAAGCATTTAAGTGTTGATTATCTTACATAGTACTTTCTACCATACTAGTTCTCCTTCCTGCCAGGTTAATTTTCATAAAGAAATCCTTTAGAGTACCTGAACATTTGTGAAACTACTAGTCAAAGCAAAATTCTGCACAACATCACTTGCTTGCTGAGGATCACAAATGCTCTGCCTGTAAGTAGTTACAGAAGTAGGAGTGAACAGTGAAAACTGTCTCACACAACTGAGTTCCATAATTGATAGATTTAGGCAAGTTTAGGAGGCACTAGATATTTACTCTTTGAACTGTCACCATACCAACAATCGAAGTTCACTTCATCTCCTCCCAAATGAATGTATGCATCTGGAAATACACTGCTGATCTCTTTGAAGAATTTAGTCATGAAGTCGTAAGTTGTGTTCAAAATGGGATTTACAGGTCCAAAAGACCCTGATGGCTGTTCTCCATGGTAACAAGGGGTGAGAAGATTTTTTTGACCTAATAGAAAAAATTGATAAAGGATATTCAGTTCCACATTGGTATGTTAATTTTGCTAGCAGGAAGAGGCAGTTACCCATATTAAAAAGGTTAATGTTCATGACTTCAGTGCTCATCTACTCTAAGTATAATCAAACAGAGGCAGGGTGAAATAAAACAACTTGCCCCAGGCTGAAGAATGCTCTAACTGGAAATCAGGACTTTTAGATTTGTGATTTAACACACACTAATTTATGGAACATGTCACTATACCTGGAAAACAGCTTTGGGATGACTACTTGAATAAAAAAGCTTTAATGGATTTAGGAAGGAAGCCAATTAGAAGGAAGCCAAATATAATCAGTGTGTTCCAGAGGCCTCTTTTCTCTTTTTATTACTCTGCTTTATTAACACCTAAGTAGGTGGGAGGTATATGGCTCAAGGTACATGTCCTACCTCAGTCTGCTAGGAATTTACTTCTACACAAGAAAGAAAGGCTATACAAACATCAAAACTAAGCACTGGTTCTTCAGTCAAGATACCTGAAGCAACATGAGCCAGGATAACAAAATAGGAAAAAGTTATTATACATAGGTTGGAGATTCCTAAGTCCAGTTTACTTGGTAAACTGTGGTTGCAGCAGCAGCATCTTCCTGGCTGTATGTTTCCTACTCTGAGCACATTTCCCCCAAACAGGGCCCTAGTGGTAGATTGCTTCAACTACCCTTCTCACATGCCTTAAGAGTTCTCTCCAAGACTATCTTGAATTTGAATGCAAACAAAGGATAGCTACCCAGGATAATAGGCAAAGCCAGGACTGGCTCCTGTGCATCACATTTAAAAAAGCTATTATACAAGAAGCTATCAGGGACAATTGATTTTAGGCAAGGGAGCTGAACCTTGCTCTTAATATGAATGTAGATCACCTCACATATCACCAGACAAGCCACTGGCTTTTATTAGTGCTCTGTAACAGCAAAGACCACACAAGATGAAGGATGCACCTGGGACAGGACAACCCCTGATACCAATACAGGCTGAGGGATGAAGGGATTGATAGTAGCTCTGTGGAGAAGGACTTGGGGGGACTGGTAGATGAAAAGCTGGACGTGAGCCACCAATGTGTGCTCACAGCCCAGAAAGCCAAGCGAATCGTGGGCTGCATCAGAAAAAGCATGGCCAGCAGGTTGAGGGAGGTGATTCTGCCCCTCTGCTCTACTCTGGTGAGACCTCACCTGGAGTACTGCATCCAGCTCTGGAGCCCTCAGCACAAGAAGGACATGGACGTGTTAGAGCAGGCCCAGAGGAGGACCACAAAAATGATCTGAGGGCTGGAGCACCTCTCCTACGAGGACAGGCTGAGAGCTGGGGTTGTTCAGCCTGGAGAAGAGAAGGCTGCGAGGAGACCTTATTGTGGCCTTTCAGTACTGAAAGGGGGCCTATAGGAAGGATGGGGGCAATCTTTTTAGCAAGGCCTGTTGTGACAGGACAAGGAGTAATGGATTTAAACTAAAGTAGAATAGATTTAGACTGGATGTAAGAAAGAAATTCTTTACAATGAGGGTGGTGAAGCACTGGAACAGGTTGGCCAGAGAGGTAGTGGAGGCCCCATCCCTAGAAACATTCAAGGTCAGGTTGGATGGGGCTCTGAGCAACCTGCTCAGTTCAAGCTGTCCCTGCTCACTGCAGGGGAGTTGGGCTAGATGACCTCTATAGGTCCCTTCCAACCCAAAGCATTCTATGATTCTGTGATTCAGAAAGACTGTTTAGCAAATTTAGTTTTTGCCTTGTTCCTTTCCTCCTCATTTTAAATTAGGAAGAAAGAGCCTGAGGCATCTTCCAACATTATGGCCACATGCCCACAGGATGAGCACAAGACTTGCCCAATGGCTAAAGCTAAAGCTATGAAGCACCAGAAAAGTCTTTACTATTTCCAGTTTGGCCAAAACCATCTTACGTTAACTGCAGTGAAATCACAGTCAGTGCACCTTGAATGAAGGCACAAGGTTCCCTGGCCTTTGAGTACATGTAAACACCACCACTCTCAGGATTCAAGCATTCTCTTATCAAGAGAAGTATTACTCTGAAACCCAGAAGACAGCGAGTGAAGAAGCATCCAACTTTTGCTGTGTTTTGTACACTGGCAGATTACCACTTTACTAATAGACAGAAATGTCAACCACTTTGAAAGAACCTTCCCAAAGCAGAAATCTCTACTTTAGAGACAGCAACTCACTATTTCTAGCACTGCCTTATTACTCTAAACTCAAGAGTACTGGATGGGGGAGGGGATAACAACAACATCAAGTCTAAGGCAGACAGAATATATCTATGTCTTCGCTCACACATGCAGCACAGGAAGCGTCAGCTTTCTCTGTTCGCTTTAGTTCCTCTAACACGTAAAGGTCATGATCATCACTGAGTCTGCCCCTTGCTTACCTCTTATCAAGGGCCTTTCAAAGCACTTTAAAGGCTGCTTTTTAACAAGTTCCTTTGCTTGCTACACCCTACTTACCACAATCTTTTAATCATTAATACTTTCTTGGACATACCTCTTCCCCAAGACTGCGTGTGTCCTGGGGTATCAAACTCTGGGATAACTCTAATGCCTCTTAACCGGGCATACTCAATCACCAGATGGACATCAGTAGGTGTATAGATGTGGTTATAGGAGTACGCTCCCTGTAAAGTATTCACATTTAGAGACAGTTTTCAAAATGTTATACCAGCAGCTCACAAAATTAGAATTAAAGTAGTATAATTTAGACTGGAGAGCAGTTTTACAAGTTGGCCTTTTCTGGTTTATCACATGTACAACTGCACTGACAGAACGTTTTGGTTGACAGGTACAGGGGGGGAAGAACCCACAAAAATTAACCCCTTTTTCCACACTAAGACAAATCATCCTTTCAACCGTAGCTCACAGTTACTGAAGAAAACAGAAAAGCTAGTTTCTATTCCATCAGATTTTTGAAATATACATTTTTTGATTCTTCTGTACAGAGACAAGTTAGTTTTCCCCTCCACCTCTGCATCATTAGTTCTGAAACATAGGGCCCTTGTTACATAACATGCAAGACTAATGGAAAAATTCTGCCAAGTCAGAAAGAACGGCATCTTCTTCCAACACCTCCGCTTGTCTGTTTTGATACAACGCCCAATTTAGCATCAGGGTATGTTTGTTTTGTGATGCTGAATTTGAGCGTTATTGCATTCACACATGGCCAACAAATGTGACAAATGACCCAGACTGCTACAGTTTGGTAAACAGATGCTTGCCAAAGAGCCACACTACATAACAAAAGCATCATGACTCCTCATGATTAATAGCACCATAAGCTTCTATTTATCTGGAAATATTCCACAGCTGGGTTACTCAAAAAAGATAATGGTAAACAAGAAGCCTTTCAAAAAGAAGTCTATTGAGACAAAGGCCATCTCCCTCTCTCCAGCTGTCAGTGGGGAATAGGACAGAACTCCACAGCCATTACTAGGAAAAATTATCTGACTGCACCATCCAACATCTACAATTTTTGAATTACAAAATTCTTCACGGCATCTGCTCAAGCACTGTCCATATAATTTTCATGAGGGTCAGATTCTAGCAAGCATTTTAAAACAAAACCCATACATCTTGTGCTTAGGCTCAGTCTACTTAATTATTCAAGCTTGATTCGGCTACTGCTGTACCATGACTGAGCAAGAACCTCATGATGGCTTTCATTAATTAGCAAAATCTGCTGCGAATCAGGAAATAAAGAGATACATTGCACTGTATTTGTTTTAGAAACAATCTCTGACTTTTGGACCTCTTACAGACATGATGTGTTTTGTAAAGTTAACTAGATCTCAGAAAGGACAAAAGTACTCCTGCAGTGGTTCCAAACCCAGTGCTGACAGGAAACTCTTACATTTGAGTGGTGGGAATTCTACCAGTTAAACAAACAAACCAACCAACCAAAAGAAATCCAAGCAGTGTTCACCACAACAGGTTATTTGCACACCATTACTGCTTGAAGGGCTGCAAACACTGAGGATCAGTCACCAGCAAAGTTGCACAGAACATTTAGGAAAGTCATTTACCATGCATCTACCAAGGAAGACTTGAACATGGTCCACATAGATGCTCAGGTAGGATCCTAAATACAGACTTGCTGGTTACTGGTCCTCTGGTACTGTTTCACAATCAGCCAAGGCAGACTTATTCAACCATTGGTAGGCTCTGCATTTTATTTTCACAAAATATGTGCCAGATTTCTGCCCTCCCACCCTGCTCCAATGATGTTTACTCACCTTGTCACTTAACTCAGGGAAAAAAATACTCTGGTAAGGGAATGACTGATCATCTACTATATGCCAGTGGAGAACATTGAACTTGTTAAAAGCCATGGCATCCTGTAAGAAATAATGCAATACAGTCTAGTTAAGCACTTCACTCTCACAGAAAACCTATGCAAAAAAAGTGGTCTTGTCCCAGTACATCCTGCATGTCTAAAGCAACAACCAAAACAACAAAAAAACCCCACAAACCAAAGAAAAAGCATACTGTGTTTCACCAAATCCTAGAAGCATACACCAAAGTGCACCAGCTTGTTTATAGCACTCCTCCATTCCTCTGCCATCTATTTGCACAACTCCTGTCAACAAGCTCTTGATCTGATCATGCTACACTGGCTGGTAGAAGGGGAACTGCTATAAATGCTTATCAATTTCTTCCATTTCAGAATGTATCAGCTATTTCAGCTTACAGAAGAGCTTATACCATTCCACCTAAATATTTTGGACTCAAAAACGAAACAGCATGAGAGAGTTTCCTACTATTTAGTCCATCCCTACTTGCTAGCAACTTCTGCAAAATCCATTTCAAATGCATACAAAATCAATCATGCATGTTCCCTGCAGAAGATAGCATTCCCTTATGTTTTCAGTCATTACACTGTCAGTACTTCCTTTTTTTGAACTTGAAGATAATCAAGATAAATATTAATATGCTTATTTTAGAATTATGACTCCAGATGGACAGTTACACACATACCCTCAGTTACGCAAGTTTGTCACTAGAGTCACTAGAAGCGGTGTGTGTTGCGAACAGATGGAGTAAGTGTTCTCTACAACTGTTTGGGATTGAGCAATTGCAACACAGTTGCTTCCAATCCCTTGCCACAACACAATTATTTCCAGCCCTTCCCCTTTCTTTTTTCACCAAGCTGTATTTAAAGAAGTGACAAAATCTCTTCAGGAACTCCCACCAAATAAGCTTTATACCTTCTCCATTCCTCAAAATTATCTCATCTGTTTTATTAGATAGCAGAAGTTTTAATTACTGCATGTCTTCATGCATTTCTATCAAATACCATCTTTCCACATAGAAAATTTTATCTCCTGACCTTCACCTCAGCTACCAGCAAGAAGCCTTCCTCAAGATCAATGCCCTTCCTGGAAATATAGTACTGCAGCTGAACACAAACAAGAAGTATACTTGAGCTGCTGCCTTAAGTGTCTAATTACCACTTGTTAGTGAAGGGATTACTGATGCTTTTTATTAGGTTAGCCTAGATTCAAGAAGGCACAGAGATGGGAGGAAAAGCACACTTGTTCTTATAGCAGCAAAATGTCATAAAATGTAGCTCTGGGAAAGTATTAGAGCCACAGACATAATTTAAGGAAAGAAAACAGAACAGCAACAGTTACAGAAACATAAAAATGGTTAGAAATGCAAGTCTCAAAAGTTACTCTTTGGACATTGTTCTCTTTTAAAAAAAGACAACAAATATTGACACAAGTAACTACTTGAGCCTTTGAAGCACCCTCAGTTGTAAATGAAAGACTACACGAACACTACTTGCTGAACAGGGACTGATCTTAAAAGTAAATACAAGTGCTAGCTACCCATGGAGAGGCAAGTTCTGAGCACAGTTCAAGGATAACTTCAGAAATGGAAGACTGGTTTTACCTGCATTCTCTCCTGACCATCTTAAGCCTGCTCTGCAAAGTTCTTCCCATTGAAGGGAAATTTCTAACACTATCTCATCTCGGAAAAGCAAGACAGAGACAACACAGGAAACTGCATGTTCCTCTACTCAAAGGCTCCTCCATTTCAACCCACCAAATAAGCCCTGCTACAAGGATTTCAATGGCAGAAAAGGGGACTACAAAACAGAAAAACCCACAGCTTTGGCTGCTATGATTACACAAATTCATCACCTTCCCATCAAGGTAGGAGTATACAATTCTTAGTGTGCTTACTTAACCTTTTCAGAGAAAGTTTTCTTTGTGGGGTTTTTTTGTTTGTGTGGGTTTTTTTCTTTTTTTTTCCTTTTTGAAAGGACAGGGTGAAAAAAATCAGTAACTTCCAATGAACATTTCCAATTTCCCCCCTTGCTCTGTTCTACTTAATTACTGGCTTGCTCTTAGCAGCCTAAGAAAGGACTACCAAAGCCTGCTTAGCAAAAAGACTAGAATTTTCCTGCAACCACTGGCACTGAAGCCAGGACTTGCAAGGTCTCCCCTGTACTGCTTGGTGACAGTCAGATGTCTCAAAACATGCTCTGAAGAAATACGTGAGCTGGTTTAGGCAACACACAATACAGAAAACCCAAGGTACCACAAATCACAGCCTCTTTTACAGATTCACTAATTATTGTGTCCACCCACTCAATTCCTCTCCAGTGTATGTTCTGACCTTCACTTAACAAACTTCACTCTGTCCTTTTAGAAGTCAGCCAGAGGAGATGGGTTCTCCTTTCATATCAGCTCCAGTTGCTACCTACTTCAGGGTGCAAAACACAACAACAAAAAGCCTTCATTATTAATGATACAAACCTGCCCACTTACCAGGTTTGTAAGAATAGACTTCAATGGTAAATAATGCCTTGAAGTGTCTAGTAAGATTCCTCTATGAGCAAATCTTGGGAAGTCGTTGATTTCAGATTCATTGACAAGAAACTATGAGAAAGATTTAAAAATTAGAATTCCGGTTTCATACTCATCATTTCAAACACGAAATACTTACTTTTCAGTTTGTTAACAGCTTTCCAAGGATCATTTTCTGAAAAAATACTTAATAAAACTAGTAGATCTGCTGTTTCTAGAAGAGCATCTAAAAAAAGAACATGACTGTCTGTTGTCAGGACTGTGGCTTTAGTTAATAGCTATACTTACTCTTCCATAGTCATCTTCATGAACCAACTGGCTGAAGGTTTCCAAACCTGGAAAAAAAAAAATCCAAGAATGGGATCTAGAGTACAACCCAGTACTTGTCCTTAAAGTTTTAGTTAAAAACAGGACTATAACTATTTACAGGCATTCACATAGCTAGAAAGAATGCTTTGTAGCAGAGCTTCTTTCTCTCTAGCAGTTTCCTTAATTGCTCAAGAACCATAGTTAATGAAGTTCTGAAGAGACAACCATTCAAGCTCCCCATTATACACAAGTACTGAATACAGGCACTACAGCTCGGCTGCACCAAATTAATCCTTGAATAGTACAGAAGTTACTGAGAGTAAGGGAGGAATTTCTGGTGTTGTCCTGCATCTATTCCTGTCATTTCTGGAACTGGTGAAGTTTCTAATTCAGCATGAAAAATCTGCTAATTTTGACCAACATTCCAGTAAGAACAGTAGACTGAAACTTCAGCATTATGGTCTTCCTGGTGATATGTCCAGCACGTTCAGTTATTAGCTGCAGTCAGGCAATAATTTGTTCACACTTTAGATCAGAGAGCTTTTCACCACCCAGGATTTGGTTAACTTGGCTGATTTCAGGCACAGCAAGAGTGCACTTACAGTGTGCCACTGGATCCGAGATGCTGAGCATCTGGACTGAGGGTCTGACCGACACACATCTGGGTATCCTTCTGGCCTCTATGCCCAAGCTTACTTCCCATGAAGGACTGAATGAGAGCAAGGCTCAGTGGTCAGCTGGTTCTTAGCCTGGCATGGAGTGTGTATAAGCCCAGAACAAATAGCTCTATAGGAAAAGTATCAGCTTACCTCTTAAAGCACCCCATACTTCATCTGCTTTCAGTACAGCCACAGGCTCAGTTACAGTTAAATGATCTAAAGAAAAGAAAAAAAAAAAAGAAGTTATTCTTCAAGGAAGCATGGATTGACAGGACAATGCTAACAGGCATTAAAGAGATTGTTCAAGTGCTACACCTCCCTTTGGTTTTTTTTTTTTTTTTAATTGTAACCAACGCTGGTTTTAATGGTGATACTGTGCAGCTATTTTTCATTTACGTGCCCCTGAAATAATGCAAGCTACTAGTCAGAGAGACAACAGTTAATCAGTAAGATGAAAAAAATAAATATGCTGCTTAATAATGGCCATGTTAAATATTGCACATGGGCCAGAATTCCAGCCAAGTTTAATCCAACTGATTTAAAACAAATCAGATGATATTTTTGCATTTAAGACATAGGTGATAAGGATTGGGTAACTAAGCCAGACCTAACCATAGAAGTTTACTTCTCCTTTTACCTTCCTTTTATATAGATTATGCTTACATGCTTTTTTAGAGATATAGCTTGTCAAGTACTATTGTTAGGTGCTTACTATAAAGGACTAATTACAAAGGACCAGGGAGGAGGGGCGCGGGGGGTGGCAGAAATCAGACCCCACCATCTAATGAGCACATATACAGGGGCAGTGAAATAAAGCAAGGTAAGTAAAACGAAGAACAGTATCTGAAGGTATCCATAACCTTGAGTACTGAAGTACAGTACCAAGTACTGGGAAAAGAAAAAAAGCTAAAATAATTTTGGTTTTCCATTTAAGGCGGTTCAGTAAATTTTAGTGAGGAAACAAGTATTTTTTACATACGTTAATTTTTAAGAAGTCACATGCATATATATGTATAAAAAGACACTATATCTATAAATCTATAGATTGGATATTAGGAAAAATTTCTTCATGGAAAGGGTAGTCAAGCATTGGAAGAGGCTGCCCAGAGAGGTGGTGGAGTCACCATCCCTGGAAGCGTGCAAAAAACAGGCAGACGTGGCACTTCGGGACATGGTTTAGTCTAGTCTACCCTTGATTGGTTTAGTGTGGACGTGGTAATGTTAGGTTAATGGTTGGCCTGGATGTTCTTAAATGTCTTTTCCAACCGAAACAATTCTATGATTCTATGATTATATTATTATTTAAACATCAAAGCAGTAATAAACTGACCAGAGTCACGTATTTGAAGCAACAGAGAAAAAAAAAAATCAGAAGGGTGAATTGCTGTATAATGATTTATTGGATATGCCTCAGCATGGAAGAATGGTTGGTTGTAAGGTACACAGTCCAAACATTTGTCTAAACTGCCAGAGAAAAGCCATTCAGGGACATGAAGAAAGTACCTCAAGCTTCCATTTTAACCTAAACATGGAATTCATATACTGGAAGTTCTGGGTAAGAAACAGAACTTAGAAGACAACTGCAATCTCCATGGGTCTTTCTGTTGTAAACCGTAGTTCAGTCAGGGATTTAATACCAAGACAGCAGGCTTTTTTCTGAACATATATCATACCTTAAATGAACACAGAACAAGAAGTTTTGTACGGCTATTTGGAACCTTTTACACAAGCAGGCAAGAAGCCAGGGAAGAGAAGGGCAGATAACTTGTACTTTGATTATATATCCAATACTCTTGCTGTAGGATAGTCACCGACTGATCTATACCATCTCTATTAAGAAAAGGAGCCAAACCTCTCAATCCAGCAAGTGACTAATAACTGCATATTTCAGCATTTGTCCCCTGAACAAGTTACTCCATTAAAAGTAGACAATTGCTGAGGTCTGGAGAGCTTAGCTTACTACATGAGGAAAACTTCATGTTATTTGTAACAGAAAACTCCTTTCCTACAGCAGAGGGGAAAACTCTGACTCTTCTGAAGAGCGCAACCTAAAAATCACATGATCTCACAGATTCCATGACAGAAGAGAAGAATCAACTTAGGTTAAAATCTGAAGTTCACAAACCAGTTCAAAGTTCAACTAGTATTAAAGCAGTATAATAACATGACTGTGGCAGAAAAATTCTAAAGCATTAGCAATTTTGCTGCTATACCTCATTTGCATTGAAATGTATGATAAACTTGCACGCAAAAATTGCACTACTTGGCTAAATGTACCAAAAAGATTGAGTAAACTTAAAATCAGTACATTCTACCACAAGTCAGGTGGAATTAATCCTGCTGCAGATGTATGACTTAAGATTAAAAGGATCTTTTTCTAAGGATTGGTATCCTGGATACCAAACAACTGCCTTGCCTAGTACAGAAGATTATCTCAAGACAGAACTAGATGAATACATTGAATTCTGTGCTAACCTGCCCAGACAAAAAACAATACTATGAACTCATCTTTATTTCTGTTAAGAAACTTCTCTGGTGATTGGGACTTGATTTTAGAGTACTTCTCCCTCTGGACTTCAGTCATAGAACTAAAGCAGCATAGCAGAAGAAATCCAATACAGCCATCATGCTTTTAAATTCTTTCTTGTATCTACTGATAGAAAGAAAATGGATCCATAATACTGCAAGATGAATAACAAGAAGTTCATAGAATCATAGAATGTTTTGGGTTGGAAGGGACCTATAGAGGTCATCTAGCCCAACTCCCCTGCAGTGAGCAGGGACAGCTTGAACTAGAGCAGGTTGCTCAGAGCCCCATCCAACCTGACCTTGAATGTTTCTAGGGATGGGGCCTCCACTACCTCTCTGGCCAACCTGTTCCAGTGCTTCACCACCCTCATTGTAAAAAATTTATTTCTTATATCCAGTCTAAACCTATCCTCCTTTAGTTTAAAACCATTGCTCCTTGTCCTGTCACAACAGGCCTTGCTAAAAAGATTGCCCCCATCCTTCCTATAGGCCCCCTTTCAGTACTGAAAGGCCGCAATAAGGTCTCCTTGTAGACTTCTCCACGCTGAACAACTCCAACTCTCTCAGCCTGCCCTCATAGGAGAGGTGTTCCAGCCCTCAGATCATTTTTGTGGTCCTCCTCTGGGCCCTCTCCAACAGGTCCATGTCCTTCTTGTGCTGAGGGACCCAGAGCTGGATGCAGTACTCCAGATGAGGTCTCACCAGAGCAGAGCAGAGGGGCAGAATCACCTCCCTCGACCTGCTGGGCACACTTCTTTTGATGCAGCCCAGGATACGGTTGGCTTTCTGGGCTGCAAGTTCAATGAACACCTTCTGGTTTTCCAGGAAAAGCAGAAATACCATGTACATAAGCCAGTGTAGGTAGCTTCAATTCAAACAGTTAGTTCTAAGGAGAGCAGATGAATAAGCAAAGCCAGCCTTCACTGAACACCTGGTACTGAAAGAAAGGATGATCTCTTGACTACACACAGATCTCACCACACATAACTGGGTATAGCACAGCACAATACCTCTGATTCTTAATGATAGTTATTAGAAAGGATAGCTGCAGGTAAATGAGTTGAATGCTAGCTAAATGGCAGAAATCATAGGTTACACTTCTCACCAGCTTCATGATTCACTGTGGGCTGAGATTTCCTACAGGATTAAGAGCAAGAATTATCTTCCGGTTGCCACTGTTGTGAAGTGTTCTCGAGCACCTCAGTGAGCCTAGGATTTCCAGTTCCTTAAAAATCTGCTGACTTCTACATTGAACACATGATTGGAAAACAAGTGCTTACGACGCTGCATAAGCCGTGGAAAGAGAGAGGAACGCGGTGGCCAGCTGTGCGCGGTACTCACAGGCCTCATTGGAGGCGAGGTGCGGGTAGCTCTGACAGCCGGGGTCCCGGGACTCGATCACCACCTGCAGCTGCGACAGCTCCGGCTCTGCTGGGACGCCGAGCGGCCTGTGGCCCCGCTTCCGCCAGCGGGACTGCCCGAACATGTACTCGTAGTACCTGCCGGGGAAGCACAGACGCCGGTGGGGCCCTGAGGTAACCGCTGCC